TTTGTTAGTATACCCTGAAAATTTTGTACAAATCAAACAAACAGTAACAAAAATACAGCGCTTCAAAGTCATCAAAAATGACCACTTTTCAGCAAAATAATCAAAAAGGGGTCATTTTTACCGACTTTGAAGCGATGTATCTTCGTTACTGTTCGTTTGATTTGTACAAAATTTTTAGGGTATACTAACAAAAATACGGTCCTTAACAGCATATTTTTTATTTAGTTAAAAAAAATCCCTAAAAGTTATTTTTCGAACGTTTTATTATTATTAAATAGAAGGGCTTTAAAAATATTTTCTCGAAAACACCTAAACTGAGATATAAGTTGAAGTATTTTTATATAAAATTTCATAAAGATTGGTTAGAGTTAAATTTTTTTAAATTATTATGCGTTAATTTTGACGCGCAGTGTATCTTAAGCACACTTTAAGAAATAAATAAACATAATTTGAATTTTAACATTTATTCTATTAATAATTTTTTAACTTCTTCAAGTGTGAATTGCAAAATGCAATAGTATAAGTTAAATTTGCTTTCGCTATATATGTAATATATTATTACCTTATAAATGAGCAAATAATGTTTAACATAATAGTTTTTACCCTTAAAGATGCAAAACAAGCGATTATTAATTAATTTATAAAATATTTTTCCTTTTATATACCTACCTAATATTTTGTTATGAATAGGTAATTAATTACTAATCCTATGCTTTGTATATATTTTTTTAATAATATTAAAAAAAATTTAATACATGTTAATATTTTTATAATAATTAATAAATTCAACTAAAACTTATGAAAAGGGAAACAAAACTAAGATAGCCATGCTGAAAATTTATGTTTATAACGTGGTAAAATAAACTTGTCTGAAATATTTATTAATAATTAATTTTTAATGAAATTAAGTTTGTACCCATTCTGAAGTATGCCGCGTTCAGTGGCATACTTACTTTTCTCCTAAACCTCCTAAAAGTGTTTTATTTTTCGTTATAAATATATAAATTTCTTAAATAGTTATTAATTGTTTGTTTTTAATGAAATTTGGTTTGTACCTATTTTAAAGCATGCCGCATTCAGTGGCGTACTTATTAAAAAAAACGACCCTAATAATTTTTTCCGAATTTTGACATAGAAAAAATGTTATAGTAGGAATCTGTCAAGTGACATTAAAAATATTTTTATAGCTTAGATAGACTTTTTTATTCTCTATCTTTTGAGCTTTCCCAAGCAGCATTTTAAGTAAAAGCGTAGAGCTTTGAGGCAATATTACTTAATTTAAATAAATATTTTGTTAAATTAACCTTAAAAATTTACTTTAAAGTAAAACTTTTTTAAAGTTATTTAATAAGTTTCAACACTTTAAAGTATTATGAGGGACGTAATTTTTACGAAAGAAAATTACCTATAAGTGTATTTCACCTAAAGAAAAATTACGTAATTTTTAAGTCAGAATTTTTACCACTTTATAACCGTAAATATTTTTCCTATTCGCCCGGTTATTGACTAAACAAGGAAAAATAAGCTTAAAGTGAAAAATAAAAAAAAATTTCAGGTCGCCATAATGAGTTTTTTAAGATGGCATCTAAACATTTATATAATATTTTTTCATAAATATTTTTCTAAAATATAATAAGGAAAGTTTTAGTTATTTAAAAATGACTAAATGATTTTTAAAAGATTTTATAAAATTTTGTAGGTTAAGTTTTGTTGAATTTTTACCCAAGCAATAATTTTTCTTAAAACCGTAAAATATTTAGAGGGCATATAATTTTTAATATATATTGTGCCAATTTTTATCAATAAAATAATGTGCGTTTGAGTTTTAATGCAAAATATTATTAGTTTTGACAATTTAAGTTATATTTTTGAATTTTACTCTAGGTTGGCCTTTATTACTTTGTAAGTACCATTTTGTAAAAAATAAATTAAAAGAATAAACAAATTACGTCAATGTTTTGGAAAGAGATAGCAAATTTGCTAACAGTTAGTAATTATAGCGTTATTTTTACGTAAATTTGTGGTATTTATATTGTTTTTATTAAGTTAATCTCTTAGTAGATCAAAAAGGTTTTTATGTACATAGGTAAAATAACGAAATAAACCATTCCCCATATTTGGTAATTTTTCGTATCTATACCGTTATAAAACCGTTTTGGTTAACCATAAAAAATACTTTAAAGTTGAGTTAGAAGTACCTAAATTTGTAGTTATTTAAACTTAAAATGATGCTTGGGTTTGTTCATTAAAATCGAGTAATAAATAAAAAAGTTACATCTTAAATGGGCAACACTGTACTATATGTCATTTTCACGATGGGGGTATTTTGGGTTTAAATAAAATTAAATAATAAAGCAACTATAAGTCAATTTAATTTAAGATAAATGAGGTTATGCATCTGTCAAATTAACGCCAATATTGTCTAATTTTCTGAAATTTTTATCATATTTTTTTTTATTATAATTTTGCAATGATGTGGTTTTCTTAAAACCTTCTATTAACTTCCTTGTGAAACTCTATTGATCCAATAAAATCGCAAACAAGATATTTCCTTGGTAGAACACGAAATTCGTATGTTTCGGCTGGCGTAACGAATATTTATGGTTGTAATTTATGCAAAGTAAACAGATACCATCGGCTAGTTAATTCAAAAAGAACATTATGGCACTGCCACCGAAATTATAGCCAAGCCGTGTGAAATGGGACACTTTATTGTTTTGAATGACTTAATATTTCGTAAAACAACTGGCATTCAAAGTGCTGAATTTTCGCTTTGTTTTAAATTTATTTTTTACGTGCAATTAAATTTTATAAAAATCTCTGTTATGTTGGATCCAAGGTAAAAATAAAAGTTAAAACATTAAGAAATACATTTTATGTGCAATATTTAAAAACGATTTCAAAAATTTCCTAAAACCGTTTATTTATATCTGATTTAGTATATCAGTGGATATAGGTTTTTGCACGATATGGCAACGTAGTAATATTCTTTAAAAACTGTTGTTTTATAAATTAAATTGGGAAGGTAATTATCTTTCAACGTTTATATTTTCCCTAAAAAACTCGATTTCTATAGATTGACATTTTAAATTAGACAATTAACAATTAAAATGCCATAAGGATTTATTTGACATTTGTGACATTTGCTTTTAACCATAGAAAATAATTTCGCTAATATAAGTCATGAATAACTAGATTTGTTTTTTGGCCAATAAAATCATCTAAAATGTAAATCGGTTGATATAAGAGTCATTCCAAATAAAAACACCAAATGGGGCGCGCTGCTTGATTTTTTATTTTGATAAAAAAAGGTATTAAATATGAAAATCCGTTGCCGTTTTAACTTTTGAATTCTTTACTTTTAATCGGTACCCTTTAAAAATCTGAAATCGTGTCAATTTCTTACTCTCTTATAGTGGGCCAGAACTTTTTTTCTGTGACAAATATTGAAATGATTTTAATTTTGTTTTACTGTTCAGTAAGTGTGTTTTCGATATAAATTATTATTATCCAATTAGTTAATCTCATAAAAGAATGGTAAACCACTAAAGATTCATGATAATATGCCAATTTCTGTGATTTTTGTATGGCTCCTGTGCCTATTCTACTAAATCTAGAAAGTTATCAGGTATCAAGTACTTATACAATAGAAAACGTAACTATTATTTTAAGTTTCTAGACTATCATTTTCTTTATTTAAAAAAATATTGTAACTTGATAATTCTTAAAATTAGTCAATTTTGCCCTCAGAAATCATTATGTTGAGGAAAAAATATAAATCTGAAACTTTCAGGAAATGTAGTCCCCACCTTCATCTTTTCAGTCCAGTTAGTCTTGTTTTGTTATTTTTATTCCTTTAAAAGATATATTAATTTTTTAATGCCCGTTTAGTAGCGACATTGTTAGTTTAAAATTAAAAGAAATAATTTTTATAACCATTTATGTAGGCGTTACAAAAATTTATTCTATCCTCCGTGAATATGTTTTACTTTAAATTTTATGCAACGGATAGCGGTAGATTTTTTTTAAAATATTTTATGTATTGTACAATTGTACTTTTTTAAAATATTAAGGTGTCAAAAGATACAATAACATTTCAAATATAGAAAGGGATGTTAAAAAAAACATACGAAATCCTAACCTCCGTGAAGCTCTAATATTCAAAATGTATGATTTCTTAAAATTCTTGCATTAGTGCAGAACCACTTATGTTATGTTATTATGGCCAATTGAGCATTGCCTTTTAGAAACAGGTCTAGCATTCCTTTAACTATAATATAATTATTTATAGTATGCAACTCGTTTATAAACTTTTCTAGGCACTCATTTAATTAAGCACTCGCTCGTCAGCTCACTCGAGCCTAAATTGAATTCGTGACTAAAATGTCGTTCATCAAACTTGATACTGTACTGTTAAAAATTATGTTGCGTAGGTATTTCTTAAACATTTAAGGATTAAAAAGTACTGTTAAATTGCAATTTTTAAAAGCTTTGAAATGAGGTATCACAATTTGTGATTCACAAAGGGGAACTTATAGAGCATGGCTCGTTTTTAAATAGACACCCAGTATGGTGCAAATCTTAAATGAACTAAGGAACTAAAGTGGAATTTGATTTCTTGTCCATAAATTTTTACAAGTGTATCTTTAAAGTTGTTTGGTTTTAGAAATATTACTTTAAATAGGTATATAAAGTAGGTACACTACATTATATAAATATTGTAAGAAAATGTAGGCCACAATAATTATTAATTAAACCTGCTAATAGAACAAGTTATATATCATTACAATTAATATTTATTATAACTTATGATACGTATTTTTGCTTAGGAAGAATATAATAAACAACAAACCTTTAAGGTATAACTGACAGCTCATGTAAGCTTAACATAACGTCACTTTCACTGCATAAGACTCCAGAAGCTCCTGTAGCGGTCCAAGGTCGTCCCCAGACGTCTTAAAATGCAGCAAAGAATCTTAAGTTATATAGGCAACTGAAAACCGCTGAGAAGACAGTCTGTGCGTTACGTGCAAACATACATGAATCTGCCGAGATGGCAGGATATCTGCAGGTATGTCTTTTTATCCTTAACATTTAAGTGTCAGTGAGTGATATCCTTACAGGATTTATTACATGAAATGTATGTATGTAAGTGAAATAATATAAACAGTGGCTGGCGATGAAAATTAAACTACTAGTAGGCAGTTCTTTTTACATTTTATTATTCAAATCTTTGAGAGAAATATTAAGAATACTTGGAATTCATTTTGCAAATGTCAAATCTGTCAAAATCATTTTTTTTTCTACGCCCACCTCTAAAACGCCCTTTACCGTAAATGTTTACATAACAATAAGTGACCTTTTAAATAAACATTGATAAGTTGTGACTTTATGGCGTTAAGTTAAGTTGGTTGACAGTAGTCAAATGTCATACAATCGTTAAAATAAAGTGCCCTTCCTGTGAAATAATAATGTGGAAATGATTTGATTATCTTAATACAAAAATAAAAAGTATTAAATATTTTCTTAACACCCCAGACAGCATCCAATTCAGATTTCTGTACGAAGTATGTTGAAAAACATCTTACCGAGGTCACAATATGACATCTTAAAGAAATCATTTTGAGGAGCTCAAGATTAAGAGTTCTTGATGAATTCATAAATAAAAAGTCAATTTTTTAACATCTTAAAGTATCTTTTTTTCTGACCTCTTATTGATTCCAAAATTAGAAGCTACTAAGGGTATCATAAACAAGACTAAAACGGGAGATTCTAAAGAAGTCTTTTTATAAATTTATACAGTAGGACTCTTTAAAATGCTTAATTGCAAAATCAAAGAAAAGGGTTCCTCAAGAGTTCTTTTTTGAGAGAGTCTTGATTAGTTCAATAGGTGGCGCATTCGAAGTTTTAAGAACTTCTTAAAAACTTCTTTCTTATGTTGTATTTGACGTCCAAATCATAAAATAGAGCTTATGCAGACTTAATTAAGACGTCATATTGATGTCTGGGACCAATACCTATTTGAAAAGTTTATATGCAAGTTTGTACTGACCTTTTCATTTTTTCGGCAGTAAAGAAGATTCAACTGAGAGCATTTGACGTCCAAATCATAAAATAGAGCTTATGCAGACTTAATTAAGAGGTCATAATGCTGTCTGGGACGAATACCTATTTTAAAAGTTTATATGCAAGTTTGTACTGACTTTTTGATTTTTTCGGCAGTAAAGTAGATTCAACTGAGAGCTTTAAACATTTCGGGTGGAGACTCCAACGTGAAGTGCCCATAAAACATTCTCTTCACTTTCCCTGTAAAAAACTGCTTCTATATCATCATTTGAACGGTTTTTAGTCTATTTTCAAGGGATAAATTTCGATATACACATACAAGTTTGACATTTTGACTGGCGCGCCGGTAATACAGATTTCCAAGTTATATAGTTAATCTATTTTTTTTATAGATGTCGCTCTATACAAATATTTAATTTAAAACATTTTTAGATAATAATAAGTATATGTCGTAGAAAAAGAATAGTATGCAACTCGTTTATAAACTTTTCTAGACACTCATTTAATTAAGGACTCGCTCGCATAAAATAAATTCGTGACTAAAATGGCCTTCATCAAACTTGATACATAATGTATCAAGTTTATAAACGCCATTTTAGTTACAATTTTAATAAGTACGATCGAGTGTTTAATAAAAACTAGTGTCTAGAGAAATGTATAAACGAGTTACATACCTACCTAGGTACTTTAATTATTTTTTTTATTTCCAACACCCGGAATTTGTTTGCGATGTTGCCAAATTAACCAACAAAATCCCCTTTTCTGCGATTTCTTTTTTTGTTTTTTTTGCGGTGTTGTAAGATTTCCAAAATTCTTCAGAAGATGGGAATTTTTTAAAAAAGGATAACTTCAGTAGTCATCTTGCACTATTTAGCGGTGTTGCCAAATTAATATATACATATATATGTATATACAGTGTGTCCGCGGATAAAGTACACAATAGGATTTTTTTTTAAATTTTTGAACAAACTTGCGTTTATAATGACTTCATTATATTACCGCTTTCGGTGCTGTAATGAGGTACTTTACCCCACCCAAAATTTTGATTTTATAGGTTGGTATAGCATAATATTTTGCATATTGGTTAATAGTATATTATGTATCAAGTTTTATAAACGCCATTTTAGTTACGAGTTTAATTAAGCACGAGCGAAGCTTGCGAGCGAGTGTTTAATAAAAATGAGTGTCTAGAGAAGTTTATAAACGAGTTGCATACTATACTTTATCTACGACGAACACAAAACAGAATTTAAAGCCAATATTATTTATTAAAATTTTGACATCTGTCAACTGTCACCAGGGTTGGGTCAGTAGAAAACCTTAGGTAATTTACCTTGGTAGAAAAGGGTAGAAAACTTGTTTTCGACTTGCGTCGAAAACCTATAGGGTTTTCTACTTACGTAAATTACCTTATTCGACCTTCTCCTTCCACTTCTCTATAACTGATAAAAATTTGCCCTCATGCCAAAAATTATGTTGGGGTCTCCCAACCAAACGTGGCCCTTTTTTTCCCACCATAATAATCTTAAAAAACTCCAAATAACTTCAAATTTATGGTAGGTGTCTGATTTTTCACAACATTTAACAAATCATAATAAACAACAAACTTGCATAACCTCACATTTTTTGATATTTGACAGTATTCTACTTTTTTACGTTTTCTACCGTCGAAAACGTCGAAAAAGGTTTTCTACATGTCGAAAACAAAAATGTAGGTAGATACCCAACCCTGACTGTCACCCGAATTTAACCTCACTTTTTCCCAATTTATAAAAAAGCTAACTTCAGCCCGTGACGTAAAATGTCGAAAAGCCACTGTTGTTAACTTCAGCCCGTCAATAAACGCCATAAAACGCTCGTCAATGTAGGAGTAGATAAAATATTTTTATGATTTTTCTAGTACTTACGAGACTTTTCTGGCAATAAATTTTGTTTAACACCAAAGAAAATAATTTTTTTCTTCTTTAACATTAACAGCCCCTTATTGTAAATAAGTAAATTAAGGACGGCAAGGCGCATAAAATAGCATAAAGAACTCACAACAAAATGAACAAAATGACGTCTTATGACATTAGTCCTTTAATATACTTTTATAGTACCTATAATAGGTATGGATAAATATTTCTAATTATTTTCTTATGTTATAAACAATAAATAAAAATTATAGTTATAATAATTCACTTTTAATTATAATCTTAGTTTGTAATTAAAAAAAAAGTAAATTATGTCAGTTCACGAATACATATTGTTATTGTTAAAACACTTCCTCTGTAACACATTTAAAAATTATAAATGGTTTGTTCCTAAAAAAAATTAGGCAATAAATAATTAAACACAATAAAATACCAAGAAATGTTGTAAACCCGGGCCTGCATGGTTGACAAATGTACATATTTCTGACAGTTTGTGTTAACTCTAATCTTCATATCTTTTAAACGTTTTAAGTGTACAACTTATATTGCTTAACGTATTTCGTTTTTTACACCTACACCGTGTATAATATAAAAATACTGTAATTTTCCCGTTTCCACGCAACAATCGACAAATACGATCTGCAAAAACTTTTGTTAATCCAAATTAAAAATGGATTAATTAGTGGTTTGTTTTTGATTTTTAATTACAAATTTACTACAGTACCCTGTGCAATCTAATATTTTGTTACTTCTGGGATCGTACTATTTATTTATTTTATTGATAAAATCGTAGCCGCACGAATCACACGATTGCATTGAATTTGCTTGCGTAATCTAAAAACCGTGACTATAATAAATTGTTGATGGGATTGGTCATCAATGATTTTTCAAAACATACCGCCTAAAGCGTTTTAAATGTAAATTAATGTTCATTGCTATGTATTTATATTAACTTGTAGATCAATAAAAATAACAATATTTTATTGCGTTTTCCCTACAGGAAGTGTTTTAAAAATACACATTACTATAACTTTATCTGTAGACGTCATTAAATAGGGCTGAAGTTAGCAGCAGTGGCTTTCGGGCTGAAGATGGCTTTAAGTTGGTTGACAGTTGTCAAATGTCATACAATGTCATACAAATTTTCGAGAGGAAATCCTGGGTAGAGTATTTACCGGTTTCCCAAGAAATAAATTGCATACAGTCCCTGTAACTATTTACGTGAAAATTGTAAACATTTCAATTCAGTAAAAATTATAAAACAAATAAGTAGTCTTAATTCAAACAGCGTTATGCATTAATAAAAGAGTCCATTGAGAAAGTCTCCACACAACGGTAAAAAAACAAAAACCGGTATTTTATTATGTATTATAAATATTAAGTTGTGATAAATTCGTAAATATATTTTGTTGTTTAGCATTTTAAAATACAGTTGCCGGCGGTTTTTAAAAGGACTCAAATATAAAAATGTTCGATTTTAAGGTTATGTTTGTATAATTAATATTTAGATTTCTTAAAAATGCCCACCAGATAGCGCGCGTTGCGAAAACCCAATACTTCTTTAGCGTATAGTATATAATAACCCTCAAGTTTCAACACTTTAATGTATTATGAGGGACGTAATTTTTACGAAAGAAAATTACTTATAAGTGTATTTCACCTAAAGGAATATTTAACGGTAATCTTAACGTCAGAATTTTTACTTAATGGTAAATGTTACTCAAAAGTCATAATTTTAAGACCACTTTATAACCGTAAATAATTCCTATTTGCCTGGTATTTTTTAGGGTTTTTAGTGGTAATAAATACTATTAATATTGTCTAAACAAGGAAAAATAAGGTTAAAGTGAACATTAATGTTTAAGGGAAAATTTTTTTCAGGTCTCCATAATGAGTTTTTTATGATGGCATCCATTGCTTATCTAAACATTTATATAATATTTTTTCATAAATAGTTTTCCAAAATGTAATAAGGAAAATTTTAGTTATTAAAAAATGATTAAAACTAAATGATTTTTAAAAGACTATAAAATTTTGTAGGTTTTTAGTTTTGTTGAACAGTTAGTAATTATAGCATTATTTTTACGTAAATTTGTGGTATTTATATTGTTTTTATTACGTTTTAGTAAATCGTAAAGGTTATTATGTAGGTAAAATAACGAAATAAACCATTCCCCAAATTTGGTACTTTTTTGTATCTATACCGTTATAAAACCGTTTGGGTTAAGCAAAAATACTTTAAAGTTGACTTAGTAGTAAATTTGTAGTTATTTAAACTAAAAATGGTGCTTGGGAGTGCCAATAGAATTGCACCACTCTGATTGACTTAATTTTGGAAAACCCCGTATAAATGATATTTTTCCAAAACAATAACGTTCTCAACACCCTGTATACAAAAAAATCTGCTTACATGTAAATTAAGTTTTCAACCAGGAAAATAATGTACCTACACAACTTTCTTAAACCAAAAGTCTATTAATGTAGTCGAACAAATTGTCATTAACTTAAGCACTAAATTGTTATAATTTAAGCCATTGTTTCTTGCAGACAAGTATAATGTAAAATGTTAAATTCGAGTAAACTTTATTTCACATACCCACTTTAACATTAATTATTTGACTAACAATGGGATAATTGGATTCAAATGCGAAAATAATAAACGAGGTGAATCTCCTTTATTTGCGACATTTTTTAACGTTTTTTAGGTTAGTTTCTTTAAAGAACTACACTCACAGGCAAAATAATCGATCCACACAAATTTTCGATGAATTTCAATCGCAAATAACTTTTTTATTAAATTTAAGATTTAAACGAATATTAAAAAATATTGTAGATAAATTATTGGACAATTGCTTACATTTTAAAAAATTACTAAAAAAATAGACGTACGTTTATAATATACAGGTTTAAACAAAAATATGTTTTTTACCATAAGTTTAAGACACTCTGTAGAGTGGCAAAACCGTATATTGTTTTAAATTAAGTTTTATTTATCAAGTCACATCTATTCTTAACAGTTTTGTTTTTGGTTCACCTCTATATATTTCTTTTTGTGGAAAATATGCATTTTTTTAAAAAACATTGCAATTTCCAATATTTTTCTGTATGAAGAACTAAGGTTGCTATGGTCCATCCATAGGCTATGGAGAATGACAGTGACAGTTTTGTTGAATCATCCCATAGTTGGACATGTCATACACGGCTTTCAAAAGCTATCAAATTGTTTTTTGCAAATTAATGTTTAAATTTTGAGGTGTCTTCTTACTTTAAAAAAAGGATATGTCTCCGACTGATGTTGCCAGAGCCATTAATTTAATCCAGGATGGACGGTCACAGTATTACGTGGCAAGTGTTTTAAACGTGACAAGAAGTAAAGTACAAAGGCCAACATCAGTCGGAGACATTTTTAAAAGTAAGAAGACACCTCAAAAGTAAGTAGTTTTTTAAAAAAATCCATATTTTCCACGAAAATAAATATATCAAAGTGAACCAAAAACAAAACTGTTAAAAATAGATGTGACTTGATAATTAAAACTTAATTTAGAACAATATACGGTTTTGCCACTCTACAGAGTGTCTTAAACTTATGGTAAAAAACATATTTTTGTTTAAACCTGTATATTATAAACGTACGTGTTTAAATCCGAAATCAAATAAAAAAGTTATTTGCGATTGAAATTCATCGAAAATTTGTGTGGATCGATTATTTTGCCTGTGAGTGTAGGTAGTCAGTGACATCCATACTTTTTATATTCTAAATAGTGCGTATATTTTATTTCAGATAATACTACCACTAGCTGTACTACTGATCTGCAGATCGATATCGTGTGCAGATGTAGCCGAATCCAAAGAAGAACTAGTCCAATCAGAAACTAAAGACGGCAAACTAGAAATAATCAAGCGAATTAAAAAAGTGAACGAAGACGGCTCGTACACAATAGGCTACGAAGCCGACGATGGCTCCTTTAAGATCGAAAGTCGAGATGTGATTGGTAACATCAAAGGTACCTACGGTTTCATAGATGACGAGGGCCAGATCAAGCGAGTTTCTTACAGTACGAGCAACTCAAGCGAAGTCTTGGCGAAGACGGAGGAGTCTTCAGCATCTGTAGTTCAAAGAATTCCAAAGAGTAGTAAACTAACTACAAGCACAAAAGCAGTGTCCACTGCAACCACTTCTCTACCGACGACTAATTTCGCGAGAAGAAAATCAACTAGCACCACTACAACAACATCCAAACCCAACTACACTCAAGTCGTAAATATCGGGACGGGAACTACAAGTCGACCGATTATTTATACTTCCGCCCCCAGAGTTCTGCTTCAAGGAAGATCTAACACACAAAATGAAAAATTGGAAGGGCAACTATCGCGTCCGGAAGTGATAATAAAACCAACTGAACTACCGCTATTTAGAAGGCTAGCCTTGAAGCACGACCTGCTGAATGAAGATTCTAAACCTGTAACTGAAGAACCTGAAGTGCGAAGCAACATATTACGAAGACAGTTGGTGCATGAGAGAGCCACAACGGACTTCAACCCCAAAGAACACATTGTAAACTTGCAACAATCTGATGGAGACGATATCCCGGACATATACACCGGCTCGCTCACCACAACACCCAGACATGTATTCAGTACAACTCTGAGACCGAGAGTCATATCCACTACAGCGTCACCGATAACTCTAAGACCTCTACGGTATTCGCCAAATTTCCAGCAAACTCCGGAATACGCTCAAGCTAGTTCAACGACGGAATCAACTGTCGACAACTCCACCCCAACACCGGTGCCTGTAGTGCAAATCCCCGCCAACAGACAATTAGCGCCAGAACCGTTGATTGCCATAAGACATCCATTCCAACGAGGTACAATTTTGGTTCCTTTGAGTCAGCTGCAAAGACGTATTGTTCCCGTCGAAAACGCCAGAGACGAAAGCATGGAAAATCAATACATCCTGCAGAATGTCCGACCAAATCAATACAGTGAATCAACTGCGAAACCTGTTGTTGAACAACAACCACGACCCATTGCGCTAAGAAGAATCCCTCCCCCATTGCGGCCAATACCAGTGCAAGTGGACGAAAATGGTTACATTAGGGAAGTTGATCAGAGAGTTGCCGGGCCGTACCCTCTTCCCATACCGATAACGCCCGCCCCAAAATACACGAACAACGATGTACGTAATGAAGTCGACAATATTGAGCCACCTGTAAGCACAAGAGAGTTCCAGCAACTTTTGCAGCAGTTGATTCAGAGACAGTCGAGATTGGAACGCGTGAACGAAATGGCGAATTCCAGAAGATTTTTGTACCCCCAACAACAAGACTACAGACAGCAGCAAGACTACAGACCGCAACAAGAATACAGACCCTTATATCCGACGAACCAGCCTCCTTTGTTCGTACAAAGAGTGCCGCAAGGTCAACGCGGCGGACCCGTGCAGTTTTATCAAGATGAAGACCAGAGAAACAGGCAACAGTACGTGGTCCAACAACCTCAACCACTAACACTGCGACAGCAAAAACAAGATAACCTCTACAACGACCAATTCGGCCAATCGTACACCCCCACGAGACGTGTTGCCAGATTGCTTCCAAATCAACCAAACGAAGATGATAACGAAGAGTACCTCCCTCCAGATGTAAGAGAGATGCTTCTGCTGAGGATGTTGCAGCTCGCGATAAATCCAGCTCTTCCCGTGGACGATGAGGAGGTCCCTGAACCGACCACCCAGGTTCCTCAGTACAAGAAAGCCGTGAGAAACGTGGAAATACTGGGCGAGGAGAGCGACGATGCCAAGTCTCCGTCGAGGATTAAGAGGTACAAAGAATATTATTACTAATTTTTACTATTTCTAAATTATTATTACCACTCTGTACATAACCATCCATCGTTTTATATATTTTTGTAGATATTTATTTTGTACGTATTTATGTTAAGTTTAGATAAAATTAAGGTGTAAAATGTTTTTCAAAGAACGTTATAAAAATTATGTAAACATTACATAATCTTACCAAAGAATAGAGCTCGTGAGAAGTCCGAAACGTATGTTATATTATTACAATAAAACAATTAATGAATATTCAAATCGTTTCATTTCCTAACATATTTTCGCAATGTTGTAATAATGTATGTGTGCATTTTAAATTTTTGTCACACGGTGCATTGTTTGGAATTTTCTTGATATAATCGTATCTTAGACAAGATAAACACACAAATTAAATAATTATTAAATTGACAACGAACTTTCCTTTATGATTTTCTGACGGTTTTATTACATTTTAGTCGGTCCCCGCGATTTTTTAAATTTGTAGTATGGAAGATTAATTTTCAATATCGAAGCTATTTTTTAAATAAATAACACATTAACATCTCATTGAGCAAAAATATATGCCTTTAAATTTTTGAAATTTTCTTCAATTAACAAAAATGTTTCAAATATTTTATTCAACAAAATTATAGGTTTAAATTTGTAAAGAGTCTTTTAAATGATGATGATGATACAAAAATTCTCACAAAAGTTTTAAATTTTAAAGTGGTAATTTTTGGATTAAAAAATTATCGATAATTAAATTTTTTTTTATTGTTAAATTTTAAATTAATACATTTTCAATATAAAATTTATAACTTTAACTTTAAGTCGATAATTTTTAATTTACAAAGTGTAAACGTAGCTTTAGCAGACGCTTTGGTACGGGTCACTAAATCTTATTTTAGTGAAAAATTCTCATATTTTTGAAGATATTGCAAAAGTGACTGGATTCTTTGAAAAAATGTAAAGGACAAACTTGTTGAAAATTTAATTTTCTTTAAAAAAGGTCTTATCAGTTGAATCGCTAAGATTGATATTTGTTGAGATATAAGGCGTTTACATTGACAATTTATGAAATTTTTGGGATTTTCGTACCAAACTTTTTATTAATGATGATTTTTAATTGTTTATCAGTACAATTTCAACTAATTACGTTTTTTCTATACTCGGGTGATTAGAGAAAAATAAATAACTAAAACAATCAAGCATAATTATTAATAACATAACTTTAAAGAGAAAATATATCTATGTATCTAACCTAAAAATTGATATAACGAGGTGTATTACATACATGTTATTTTTTAAACCAATAATTTTGAAAAAAATATTAGTTATAACTACAATTTTTAGAAACCAATATTTTAAACTTATAAATAGGTACTTTTACATTTGCATTTTAAATTTAAAATATTTTTTGATTCTCAAAAAAAAATAACTTTTTAAACTATTTTGTATTTTAAATGTCTAGAAACCATTTATAAATACTAAAAAATTTAACTTTACCAATTTAAATTTAAATATTTAAGATTTAAAAAATTCTGCCCAAATAAATTAAACTTAAGAAATTATTTTTATTAAAAAATTATAGTTGGGAATGTTTGCAAAAATTAATTGAAAATAATATTGTTTAATACAAAAGTGAACTGTATTGCACGTTTTAGCATTTATTATATAAAAGTTTAAAGATTAAAGTTTAGCACTTAAATTATGTTTTAACAGAAATTTATAAAGTTAAATTTTTTTAAAGTCAAAACAATTGATAGTCAAAAAATATTTTAAATATAAAATGTAACAGTAAAAATTTATGTTTAAAAATATTGATTTTTAAAAGTTTTAGTTGTAATATTTTATTCTAAAAAATTATTGGTTTAAATTTTTAAAGTCATTTAAATGATAGTTGATAAATTTTTAATACAAAAATTCTCACATAACATTAAATGTAAGTTTTAAATTTTAAAGTAGTAATTTTTGGATTAAAAATTTATCGCTTAAATGACTCTTTACAAATTTAAACCAATTTTTTTTATTTTTAACAATTTTAAAGTGATATATTTTTAACTCAAAATTTATAAATTTACTTTAAATGTAAGTCGATAATTTTTAAATTACAAAGTGTAAACGTAGCTTTAGTAGAAGGCACAAGAGTCTGGGATCGTAGCCACGATGCAGCTAGTTTGATCCGTTGATGTTTTTTAACTTAGTACAATAGGCACTAAAAATGTTGTTGTTCTATTATTAAATTTATGTAATAAAGAAACATTTCATTACGATAATTTGTAAAACGCTTCAAATATTTATGGAGCAAGCACGATTTGGCAACACTGCGGATCAAACTGGCTGCATCGTGGCTCCGATCCCAGACTTGTGTGCCTTCTACTAAAGCTACGTTTACACTTTGTAATTTAAAAATTATCGACTTACATTTAAATGTAAGGTTATAAATTTTGTCTTAATAATGTATCAATTTAAAATTGTTAAAAATAAAAGTTATTGGTTTAAATTTGTAAAGAGTAATTTAAATGATAAATTTTTAATGCAAAAATTACCGCTTTAAAATTTAAAACTAACATTTAAATGTAATGTTTAAATTTTGGTATTGAAAATTTATCGACTTTTATTTAAATGACTCTTTACAAATTCAAACCAATAATTTTGAAGAATAAAATATTAAAATTCCATTTTTTAAAAATTAATATTTTTATACTTAAACTTTTACAATTGCATTTTATATTTAAAATATTTTTTGATTATCAATAGTTTTGAGTTTGAAAATGTTTTATATGTATTTTTATTTTAAATGGCTTGATCTATTTTTAAATACTAAAAAATTTAACTTTACCAAATTAATCTCAACAATTTTATAAAATATTTACCTATTTAAGTTAACAAAATGCCACCCAAATAAATTATTATACTACTTGGGAAATTATTTTTATTAAAAATTTTTTGCAAAAATTGATAGAAAATAATACTGTTTAATACAGAAGTGAAATGTTGGTTAGTAAATTTTGTCTTTCAATACATGATAGTTGAAAATATTATAAATTTATAAATGTAAACCTAAAATTTTTAGTTAGGATAATTTTAAACCAATAAAATTTTAAATTAAAAAATTATTTAATAAATGTTAAAACGGCGTGCCATAGAACTGTTAGTAATTTATTAGTTAGGAAAATTTTAAACCTATACGTTTTAAATTAAAAAATGCATGCCATACAAAGCACGGTGCTGTTCTGAGAGGTGATTTTTGGACATTCTGTGAAACCTAATTTTTTTTTATATTCATGTTAATTAGGTCATAACTAAAATTTTAAGAGCAAAATAAAAAAAAATTGACGGTTAATTTTGTTTTAATTGGATGTTTATTAAAGATATGTATGCACACTTTTAATTCTCCAATTAAAACTTGCGATTTTATTTAAATATTATCATAACTTTTTAAATCATATTAAAAATTAGTTAATTTCCTAAAAAAAGGTCTATACATTTTTTATATCTTTTACTGTTTTGTTGTAATACACGTTTAAAGTTTTAATTTAAGGTTAAATGTATAGTATACATTTATTAAACAATAATTCTAAGGGTGCCACATTTTATTTAGGGCCGATTTATTTATTTTTGATTTATTTGACGAATAATTTCTTTGGATACTAGATATTGCCAAGACATGAAAGTTATCGGCCCGATAAACTTTAAACCGGTCCTTAGTTAAATTTCATGAATTTCTTCGTAACTTTTACTACAATTTTTCATTTTTGTTTATAAAAAACACTTTAAGAAACTAAACAAAAATTATAGAATACGTATACTGAAAATGACAATTCAAACATCAAATTAATTTTTAATATATCTAAGTGTCATGGCAACCTTTAAGGATATATTAATTAAGGGAACATAAATGTATACGTCAAAGGTTAAATTAAAAGTTTGAACGTTTATTGCAACAAAACAGTAAAATATTGTTGGAGGTCGTAAATCAGGCACAAGAAACTTTAAAAAGTGTTTTTATTCACACACAAATATTTCATACAACTTATTACAATTTATTATCACCAACAACAACTTTCTTTTTTTTCATATCTTCTTCTTCTTCTTGTTGCCAACTTGTTACATTAAACTAAAAACCTATTAATACTAAACTAACTAATAACCAATTTACTATTGTTTTCAACACACCCCCTCAATGGTAAATTTGTCCTACCTCTAGACCAATATCCTTACAAAACTTATTAAATTTAATAAAACCCAAAGGTTTAGTAAATATGTCAGCTGTTTGGTTTTCAGTACTTATGTACTCAATATTCACAATTTTTTCTTAAACTTTATCACGTACAAAATGAAATTTAATATCAACATGTTTTAACCTTTTGTGAAACTCAGGGTTATTACTTACTTTGATTGCAGACTGATTGTCTTCAAAAATTGTTACACAAACATCTTTATGACATATTTCTAAATCATTAACTAAGTATCGAAGCCAACATGCTTCACTAACAGCTAAACTTAAAGCTATATATTCAGCCTCAGTCGATGACAGAGCTACTGTACTTTGTTTACGAGATGCCCAAGACACTGAACATCCAAAAAATTTGAAAATATAACCAGTAGTAGACTTTCTATCAATTCTGTCACCTGCCCAGTCTGAATCAACAAATCCTTCAATTATAGGACTGTTTTTTTCTAAATAGTAAACAAGACTTACATCTAATGTCCCCTTAACATAACGTAAAACTCTTTTTAGAGCTTGCCATAATTGTTCACTTGCACAAGACTGATATCTACTTAAAATAGAAATTGAACTAGATAAATCAGGTCTTGTACACAACATTGCGTACATGAGTGAACCTATTATTTGCCTACACCTGTTTTCTATATTTAAGTTTTCATGTTTAAAATTGATTTCCATTGGAGTCTTGTTAGCTTTGCATTCTTGCATGCCAAATTTGGATAAAATTTTCTTTAGGTACAAGGTTTGATTTATTATAATTTTGTTATTTAACATGTCTTGTTTAATTACCATACCTAAAAAATATTTAATTTGGCCCAAATCCTTAATTTTAAATTCTTTATTTAACGTAAACATTCAATTTTCTTAGTTTCTTTAAGAAACTTTCTTGACCCATCACTGGTAATATTCATAAGAATATAAGAAAAAATTGAACCTACACCTCGCCAAAGTTTTTTGTTTCGAATGCGTTCCACCAACTTCAAATACCGACAGACAGCTGTTTCGACCTTTATTGGGTCTCATCAGTGTCGGGCAACTTGGTGTAGTGGAACACAATCAAAACAAATTACTCCCTCAGCTTATATGCTCGGTTGTTAAGTCAACAGAGGCGAGATGTAAGAACATCAGGTGATCCACACCGTCAAACGACGTGGCCTTTGCTGCAATCGGTACATACTATGCAACCGGGACTGCACACAGCAATTGTATCACAGATACTAATATGGCCTAAAGGAATCTAGAATTAACCCAAACGGGCTAAACATTAAGGTAAACATTCAATTTTCTTAGTTTCTTTAACATTCTCTTAATGTTCAATATTTCTATATCATCTGTACCTGCTAAAAGTACATCATCAACATAAATTATTAAATATATTTTATATTTATTGGTTTCTTTAATATAAAAGCAATATTCATACTCTGATCTTTTAAACTCTAATGATAACATTACTTTATGAAATTTCTCATTCCAACATTTAGGCGAAGTTTTGAGACCATATAAAGATTTTCTTAGTTTGCAAATAGTTCCTTCACTTTCTTTAAAACCTTTTGGTAAATATATATACACGTCACCTTTAATGTCTCCATTTAGAAAAGCACTACTTACATCAAACTGATTGACTTTAATATTTAACTGATTGCATAATACTAAGAAAATTCTTATTGAAGGTAACTTTGCTACAGGACTATAAATATCTGATGACATTGTCATACTTGTTTGCTGAAATCCCTTAGCTACTAGCCTAGCCTTATATTTTACAATATGATTATTTTCATCTTTCTTTCTCTTAAATACCCACCTACATTCTATTGCTTTATTTCCGTTTAAATCTTTTACACATTCCCAAGTTTGATTTTCTTCTAATGCATTTACTTCCGCTTCTATAGCTTCTCTCCATTGTTTTGATTCTTTACTTTGCATAGCTTCTTCAAAGCTATAAGGTTCCTCTTCATTTAGAATTGTTAGAAAACTTGTATCAAGATCATACTCGTTTAATTTTATAGGTTTCTGCCTATTTCTTCTCAAAAAATATCTATTTTCATTTTCAATTTCTGCTTCATCTTCCAAAAAACTTGTTTCGTTTTCTTGTTTATTTTCATTTTCAGGTTCTTCATTAATTATTTCTTGATCTGTACTTTCTATATATTTTTCTACATTTCCAGCTTCCAATTCATCTAATTTTTCTGGAAAAAATATAACGTCTCTACTAAATTCAACTTTCTTCTGCTCAGGAAAATATATTCTACATCCTTTCACTTCATCATTGTACCCTATAAACATTCCAAGTTTGTTCTTTACATCCCATTTTAATCTCTTTTCTTTAGGAATACATATTGAAACTTTTGATCCAAAACTTTTAAAGATTTGTAAATTTACTTTTTTACTAAACCATAACTCATATGGTGATTTATCCTTTTCTGAACTGGTACCTGTTCTATTTAAAACAAACGTTGCATAATTTACTGCTTCTGCCCATAATTCTTTATTATGTCCATGTAACATAGATCTTGCTGCTTCAACAATCGTTCTCATTTCTCTTTCTGCCCTACCATTCTGTTGTGGAGTGTATACGACTGACTTCTGATGACGAATGCCATACCTTTCTAACATTCTTTTTACTTCCAAATTTATAAATTCGAGACCATTGTCACTTCTTAAAACTTTTACTTTGTTATTTGTCTCTTTTTCAGCTAACCTTATAAATTTGTCAATATTTTCTTCCACTTCAGACTTATGCTTCATAAAATACACATTTCTATAAGAAGAATAATCATCCTTTAATAATAAAAAATATCTTGCTCCACCCAGTGAAGTAGTCTCCATCGGTCCACATACATCAGCATGAATCAATTGTAAAAACCTTTTTTTTAGTTATGCAAATACTAAATATTTAAATTAAATCGCTAGTTTTAATTGGATAATTGAAAGAGTGCATAATATTTTTAATAAACAGCCAATTAAAACAATTTAAACCGTCAAATTTTTTTTATTTTGCTCTTAAAATTTTAGTTATGACCTAATTAACAAGAATATAAAAAAAATTAGGTTTCCCAGAAAGTCCAAAAATCACCTCTCGGAACAGCACCGTGAAATTGATGTTTACTGATAACGTGAACATTCCTTGGCTTTGCCAAAATAAAATTCAGTAAAAATCTCAATACTAACTGTATATCTATTTTTAAAAATGGCGTCGATATTGATATTGGTACCCACTGAATTATTAAACTATCTTAAATATATTTGGGACTTCTGATTGGATTTTTCATTATTCTAGCCCAGAACACTTAGTGGAGAACAACACCACATCGACCACTGCTGCCGCCTTGGTAACCCCAAGGGAGATCTTTTTTAATAGCGGTACACCATGGTGCAAAAGCAATACAACCTTATTAATAAAATGCCTATTGATTTGCCTATTTGCTTATAAGTAGTACGTATAAGATATATTGCATGTCGATTTTTTTATTCTATGATCTCACTCTTTCATTTTACTAATCTGGAAAGGTTACCAAATGTTTACTAATATTTTTGTTTTTATAAATTTAATAAAAATTAAAAAAAAAATTAGTGTTTCCGCCCGGGATCGAACCGGGGACCTTCCGCGTGTTAGGCGGATGTGATAACCACTACACCACGGAAACGCTTTGGTAATATTGTGACGGATTAAAAGGGAAACTGTATTATATCAGGTTAAAACTTGGCCAAGAATTGCCTTTTCACCTTTGGAAAAGTTTTTACAATAAATGTACAATATATAACTTAATATTCCTATGATTTTTGTGCAATCGCGATGGCCAACAATAAATGATCAAATTGTGCCCAATAATAATAATGTATATAAAATAATGTATATAAAAATCAACTATTTTTTTTTTAAAAGTATATCGAAAATATGGTTTGGGGTGACAAAAAAAATTATTGTGAAAGTTTGAGTCCATAATATTAATATTAAGAGGTCTATCATCTCAATTTTAATTTTTTTTTCTTCAGCAAGTTTTAGGCTCAGAACTCCCAAACCATTGAGTTTAACAAAATTGACTAAAAAATATTTTTTTAAGAAAATTAAATGCTCTACAAAAAAGGTTAAAGTGAAATTTTCCGTCAGATGAACCGTTTTCTTTAAATCATGCCTTAAAAATTGTTTTACATTTTGATCTTTTAAATTGAAATTTTGTAATTCATGTAAAAATCAGTACCCATAAAAAACCGATAAATATTCTTATGGGAAATCAAATGCTTTACAAAAAAAGCCTCTTAACATTTTTGGCTAAATTCACTCAAGCAAAAGTTATTCAAGGTTAAAATTTCGTTTTGACTTCAAATTTAACCTTGATAATTTTTGATCGGGTGAATTTAGCCAAAAATGATAAAAGACATTTTTTGTAGAGAATTTGATTTCCCATAAGAATATTTATCGTTTTTTTTTCAGGGTACTGATTTTTACTTAAATTACAAAATTCCAAAGTTAAAAGATCAAATTGTAAAACTATACCAATTTTTAAGGCATGATTGTAAGAAAACGGTTCATCTGACGGGAAATTCCAATCAAACCTTTTTTGTAGAGCATTCAATTTTCTTTAAAAAATATTCCTAAGTCAATTTTGTTAAACTCAATGATTTGGGAGTTCTGAGACAAAAACTCGCTCAGGAAAAAAAAATCTAAAATTGCGATGATAGACCTCTTAATATTAATATTATGGACCCAAACTTTCACCATAATTTTTTTTTGTCACCCCAAACAATATTTTCGATATACTTTCCAAAAAAAAATAGTCGATTTTTTTGGCCCAGTCTAATATGTATAGTATACATTGTATACAAAGCAGTTTGGATTAAGTTAGGTAGGTTGGTTTAATTTTGGAAATGTTAGGGCAAATATTAGGCATTTGAAAAATTGACCAATGACATAATACCTATTGGTAAACTACAAAAACAGGCACAGAAAACAAATAAAAAATATTTTAAATAATAAAAAAATGATTTTTGGCACGTTCATTGGCATTGTTCAAGGTCACGTCAAAGGACCTCTGAAACTCTACAGCCTAGAAAAAATACCTTTATACGTGTTATAATACATGAGGGCCGGTTTATCAATGTACAGTTAAAGTTGCAGTTAGTTATCTGGTAGATAATTTCCATGGATACCATTGTTCTCGCAACGATCGATATGAAATTTAACCGTCAGATAGACTAACTGGAACTTAACTAGAGATTGATAAACCTGACAAATAAAAATTATGTTTTATTAAACATTAAGAACTTATGGTAAAATTGCTTACGATTGGTAATTTTATATGTTATGAAGAACTTCTAAAATAAAAAAAGAAATCAATTTAGAACTACAAATGTAAATTTATAATACTTTAAAATTAACGAGGGAATACCAATCTTCTAAAAGTAAGAAATTGTATAATAATGAAATTAATTTAGATAGTGCACGGATAATTATATTTTTTTGTAATAACTTTCACAAAAGCACTTTTTTACGCCTTTTTGTAGAGAAGGTCTTAAAAAATTAATTTACTTTTTACGACCTATAACTCGCAATTGCGCATAGTAAACTGATTCTTTTTCCAAGCTGATCAATTATTTGCCAAGTTTCGATCAACCTGCATTACAGTTTTTGTGCTATCTGCAAAAAACAATTTATATGTTCAAATAAAGCCCAATAAATGTAAAATATCGTACACCAAAGTTGACTAATTTCTTTTCCAAACCATGGTTTTCTGGGCTGAGTATAATTTAGTATAGGTATAAAGAATTTTTTTTTACAAAACTAAAGCTTTTATTTAAACAAAAAACACTGATATTCTGTTAAAAACATTTATTCGAGAACTGATTCAAGTCTGGATGGTTCTTGGGTGGGTTCTTCGGGACCAATGACTAAATCGCCCGGAGCATTCCAGTCTTGCACTGAACCGCTGCCCATTGCCATGAAAAACGTTGCCGTTGTTAGTAAAACTGCGGAAGATACCCCAAAAACTAGACGCCACCATCCTGCAAACTACCATCAAATATTTATTTAGAGACATCAATAGGACATTTTGGTTGGATGATATTTATTTTATTTCCGGTTAAACCGGAAGTAGCAGTAACTTTGTTTTCTCATAAGGAGATAAACATTATTGCATTTTTAAATTCTACGTAAAATTTTGCATGAATCGTTTTTTTATCTTCATTGTTTTTGAGATACATAATAATAATAATAATAATAATAATAATAATAATAATAATAATAATAATAATAATAATAATAATAATAATAATAATAATAATAATAATAATAATAATAATAATAATAATAATAATAATAATAATAATAATAATAATAATAATAATAAACTTTATTAGCCCAACTGGGTTTCCCTCAATTATAAAAAAATATTTTTAAATATGCTATGAAAAAAAAAGAATATATAAATTAATAAATAAGCATCCATGCAGAATCTACACATGAACAGCAGTGGCGGATTTACACATTTTCAAGGTATAGGCTGAATAGTTTTTGCCGCCCTTGCCTCAACAATTGTCATATCATACATTATTTTTACAATGCAACAATTTCGTTGAGATTGCACGTACAATAATTTTTCGGTATATTTTTGAGCTAATCGAAGCTCAATCATGTATGGGCGGGGTAATGTATGCTATTTACACAATAATGAACATTTGGTAAACGTAAATAAATAATATTTATTGCGCTTTCAAACAGTTAAAAATAATTGACTCAGTCATATTTTTTACAATTTCGCTCTTTTCACTCATAAGAAGTGTGGGCAAAGCGCGCAGAGGCGAGAGGCCGATTACTGGTTGAGGGGCGGCGAACTAGCTGTTTTACTCTAGAATATGAAAGTTTGCTACTCTCGGAATGTGCAATGACAAGTGAGAGAGAAAAGTTATAGACAACATTTGTTGCAGACTTCTATCTGTAAGACATCAGAAAACCGTCATAGAAAAATCTTTTTGATTTCTATGAGGTAAAAAAAAATCGTTCCCCAAATTTGCCGCCCCCAAAATCTGCCGCCCTAGGCTCGAGCCTACTCAGCCTGCTGGTAAATCCGCCACTGATGAACAGACATATCTATACACATAATAACTAAATAAAAAATATCAGTTTGGCATGAAAATTAAATATAACTTTTAATTTAGCGAATTAAAAATGTTTGTTTAACAAAAAATACAAATATAAGAAACAGATGTTTTAAATTCACTAAATTAAAAATATCAGTTTGGCATAAAAATTAAATCTAAATTTAAAATATCTGCTATGATATTATTAATACGCAGAATAAAAATTCCTATGTGATATTTTTTATCTAATTAAAAATATCACTCTAGGGTTAACACATAAAATTACCTAATTCCCGAATAAAAAATAAAACGGCGACCTCTAGTATACACGTTAACAAAAAAGTTTCCTATAAGGAATCATTGAAAGTATTCCAAAATCTTAGACAGGGTGTTTGGTTTTTCTGTTTGCCACTTTGGCATTAATAATTATTAAATTATTTTGATGCATATTGGGCAACATTGCTCTAAATCTGAAAGTTCTTGTCAAAAAATGCACTTAATTTTCTTAAAAACCTGCAATTTTCATTATGGATATTTTCTATTTTAATCAATGGCGGTTCGTAGGTGTATAGAAGCGTGAGGCTACTTGAGGTTAATTTTGTCCAAATACGAATAAATTTCCACGTCACCCGGAAGATATTATTCTGCGACGCGTTGACTTTTTTTTTAAATGGCCCTAGTAACCGATTATAAATAAAAAAATAAACTAAAAAAAACAAAACAAGGAAAATATCAAAACAATTTTAACCCAAATTGCGAAACTCAAAAACATAAATTTGTTTTTTAAAACTTTAAAATATATATCTAGATTCAGCTGAAACTTAAAAATATATTTATATGGATGGATATAAAACAAATAAAATATCTGAGCAATCGGAATACCCACGCCCTGAACTCCAATTGTTTTTGACGCGGCCTAATAAAATACAAGGCTAACAGAATAAGCTTTATTTATAAATACTTCCGCATAGCCACTTATAGGTTTCGTACCAAGATATTTGAAAAGTTCTTAGATATTGCCTCTTATAAGAGGCTGGGTAAGCAATATTTAAGAACTTTTCACGTCTTAGCAACGTTTAGCAACGACTTAATAATGACGTTAAAACGACATCTTAAAGACGATGTGTTTTGTAACATTAGATATCTTAAAGACGCCTTAAAGATGACTTACGTCGTAAACTGGACGTGTTAAAGATGTCATAAACGTCCGTCCGACATCTTTAAGATGTCTCTGTGCTATCTGGTTTGTTCCTTAATAAAAACTGCTGAATCTACCTTATCTGTGTAGTGTGTTCCCCAGTTCACCACCATTATAAAATAAAAAATTACACTAATCGAGACAAAAACTATTAAAGATCAGCCAAAAGTTTTAAATAATTTAATCTGAATTAAAACAAAACACCTACTCTATACACGATGGGAAGTCTACTAAAATCCCCACCTTGTAAACGAAGCGGAATCATCTACGGTCATGTGATAAAACCACCAATCAGAACAACCTAAGCTAACAGTTCGCGGCGAACTTGGCTGATATATTTCGCACTTAAATAGGAGCTTCTTAAGCTTTGGTACTGGATTTTTATTTACGCTTAGTATAATTGATTGGTTTTTTTCTTTTTATTGGGTAAAACTGTTGTAAAATTTCACTTGTATGAGGCAAAAAGCTAAATACAAAAAGACGTTCGTTCCTTTATTTTAAGGGTGAGGCGCGGCCTCAGAGGCCTACCCTGACGAGCCGCCACTGTTCAATATGATTAACTTATGTTGTGACTTACCGATCCATGTAATCCTTCAGACACGACGTAGTTGGCAGCCAATAATCCCGCCGCCCCCACTGTTTGACACAATCCAAATACAGTTCCTGAAAAGAATTATATTTGGGTCATTCCTACAAACAACATTTTTTTGGGATGCGATCCTAGCGGATTTTTAAATTTGACGCCTCTAGCAGAGTCCTGCCTGTTAATTATATCAACGCTTGCGAACACGATTGCTGAATGTGTTTCATTAAGTTTTCATTGTTTACCTGCAAAATTAGGAGCTATATCGGCAGCACTGGCGTACACTCCTGCAGGCGTTGCTCCTGTCATTGCCAGAGCGGCTGTGTACAAAGCCGCAGGAGCTGCAGGATCACATCCTGTGTATCCCAGGACAAACATCAAAGCAGCTGGTGGAAAGTGCGCTACAAAATTGTTATACCTAAGTAGCTTATTTAGACGATATTAATCATTATCTAATAATAGTTCCAAAATAAAATATATTTTACCAACCACTACACATTACCATTGCCATTACATAGGGAATTTAGAGAAAAAATAATAAATTGAGTAAAACGTTTAAAAGTTTCCCCTCTCCTTATCTACATATGGGTGATTCTACAAAAGTTGGACAACTTGATGTCATCAGTCAATAAAGTAGGTATTTTAATATTTTTTGTAAATATTTTAGTATATTACAGAAGATCCAGGTTTTTTTTAACTTGTCCACCCAATTTTAATGTATTTTTTCAAAAGCACGTTTGTAGAAAACATAATAAATATTTAAAACATCAGTACCTTGGCGTGTCACAATTCTGGAATGAGTGGCGGCTGGTAGATTTTGGGCACACCCATATCTCAGTTATTAGACATGGGACCCACATCAAATTTATATGAGTTTATAATGATATTATATAGACAAGTTCTGCGCAAGCAGAATTTAAATTAAAGTTTGCGAAAAAAAGTTAGTTTTTAAGTGCAACCCCCAGCCTCCTGCCCCCCCAAATTAAGATAATTCAAATTAAAGTGGTACAATATTTAATTCACTGAAGTTTATCAACAAATTTCAAATTTTATTAAAAAAATTCAAGTATTACAGATTTTATACCATTTCAAATTTTTTAAATTTAGTAAAATAAAATAATAATTATAAATGGTATAAAACCAAGGTAGAGCTCTTAATATCAATTTTAAGTACCTACTTGCAGTTTAAATTTAAAGTTTTCCCATTTAAAATGCATGTAAAAAAAATGGTTTTTTTTTAAATTTATAATGCTTACCCACCTTTGACAATATTGCAAATCGGTTTAATACACCTTATGGGGAATTTCACGCTCTTTAAAATTGCTTTTGAGTTTTTTTTTGTAACTCGCATTGGTTCACCAGTAGGAGTCGTCAAAGGACAGTTTTTGAAAAAAAAATTTTTTTTTTTTTATTTTTTTGAGCAAATTGCCAAAAGTAGTGAGAAAAAAGGGCTGATTCATAAAAAAAAAGTTATCCAACCAATATTTAATGAATTTACTGCCATTTTTATAACTGAAAACGTAAGAAATTGATAAATACCAACCTATAACTAATGTTATTTAGATTGATTTTTTCTATTTATTATCATTATATTTCCCTCACTCATAATGAATATGAAAACAACACATAAATTCATAAAAAAAACAACAAAACTTTAATCGGAATATACAGAAGGTTATGTAACATATTTCAAATTTCGCTTCAAAAAATTAAATAATCTTCATTTATATTTTTTTGCTATTTTTTTATGAATTTATCTGTTGTTTTCATATTCATTATAAGTGAGAAATTAATAATTTTAAAAAACTTCTTAGTGTAGGGAAATATAATGATAATAAATAGAAAAAATCAATCTAAATAACATTATGAGTTGGTAATTATCAATTTCTTACGTTTTCAGTTATAAATGGCTGTAAATTCATTAAATATTGGTTGGATAACTTTTTTTTATGATTCAGCCCTTTTTTCTCCCTACTTTTTGCGGTTTGTTGGAAAAAATTAAAAAAAACGATTTTTTTCAAAAACTGTCCTTTGACGACTCCTACTGGTGAACCAATGCGAGTTACAAAAAAAAAACTCAAAAGCAATTTTAAAGAGCGTGAAATTCCCTATAAGGTGTATTAAACCGATTTGCAATATTGTCAAAGGTGGGTAAGCATTAGAAATTTGAAAAAAAAATATATTTTTTACATGCATTTTAAACGGTAAAACTTTAAATTTAAATAGTAAGTACTTAAAATTTATATTAAGAGCTCAAACTTGTTGAGAATTTTTTTTTCTATATGCAGATTAATATTTTGCTTGAGCACCGAAGAAAACAAAAACTTTTCTCCCTACTTTTTGCGGTTTGTTAAAAAAAATTTAAAAAAAAACGATTTTTTTCAAAAACTGTCCTTTGACGACTCCTACTGGTGAACCAATGCGAGTTACAAAAAAACCTCAAAAGCAATTTTAAAGAGCGTGGAATTCCCCATAAGGTGTATTAAACCGATTTGCAATATTGTCAAAGGTGGATAAGCATTAGAAATTTGAAAAAAAAACATTTTTTTTACATGCATTTTAAATGGGAAAACTTTAAATTTAAACTGCAAGTACTTAAAATTGATATTAAGAGCTCAAACTTGTTGAGAATTTTTTTTTCTATATGCAGATTAATATTTTGCTTGAGCACCGAAGAAAACAAAAACTTTGCGGAAATGAATCACCCTATTGGGTATACCTGCCCTACCAACCAACCCATCACAATAAATAAAATGAAATATAATTTTTAAACTTTACCTACATATTACAAAATTATAATTTTTAAACTATTTTAACCTCCTATAAACGTTACCGTCAAGAAAATTGTATTGGTCAACCTTATTTTTATTAAAGGACATTATACCTTGTTCACACAAGCGGCATGTACAAAGTCGGCACCGCCTCGCGGCTTTGTCTTTGGTTTTGGCGGCGTTTGACTCTTTTTACGCACCGCATTTTTCTGCGTCTTATTTTTCTAGATTATTAATTAGTTGAAGCTTATCTAAGCTAAGTAAAACTAGTGTCAATAAATGGGAATTAATTTTTTTAATATGGAAAAGAAAGCTAGACCGGGCCGAGTTCTAGTAAAATGCTCATTATGTGGATCTGTGTTTAACAAGGACTAGAAAAAAATGCACGAGGAAAATATTCACGGTGGAAATTTGGTTAAAATTAAAATTGTTACGGATAATCCACTTACATTGGCAGCAAATCAAAAAAATAGAGAACGAGAATCAATCCCATCGACTTCGAAAGAGCATGCTAATGGTATACCATTAGCATGCTCTTTCGAAGTCGATGGGATTGATTCTATAGGTATACCTATAGGTAAAGACATTCTTTATCTACACTTTAGAACACTTTACATTCATGATAAAACTACTGAAAATTTTTACTAAAACTACTAAAGTATCGATAAAAAAATAAGTTGGTTTTTTTATCGTCTCCACCCCCCCAAAAAAGTGTACCTCGGTACGGCCCTGACGTCAAGTCCTCGTTTTAACTTAAGTGTTGGTACAAAATTACCTACAGAGCCCGCCCTTTGCACGACAGTCATCTTGAAAACAATGCAAGCGGCGAAGTTGTGGTGAATGCACGTATAGTTCCAGTCAAAATTTCAGTACTGTGGTAAGTAGTTATTTTCTTACGTATATATATTTCATTGTAATTTATATAAGCCCAGATAGCACAAGAGGTACCCAGGACGTCCATTTCGGGTCTCACATAGGTCCGAACGTCCCAGACCTATATCGGAAGTCTCTTACTTATTTGGGAAAATTATAGCGGATATACTCGGTACGTCCCAAGGACGTAATTTTTGTTTTTTTTAGCAATTAAAGCTGATATTTCCAAAGGGTCTAAGTGTCAAGTTGGCTAAATTATATATTATCATTTAAAAATAGTTTGTGTCATGCAGAATGACTTAAAAAATATTCCAACATTTATATTATAAAAAATATTTGGGTCATTCCACGTTACTCGGAGATTTTTGTCCCGCCCGTCACAATTAAAAATTGTGAATAAAAACTACACGTTATAAAATTTATTTTAAAATATTGTTTATTATGCTTTTAATAAGTTATAAGCGTAATAAAAATATTATTATAAAATATAAATTTAATAACTTGTGGCTTTTACTCACAATTTTTAATTGTGACGGGCGGGACAAAAATTACCGAGTAACGTGGAATGCCCCATTTGTTTTTCATTGATAACTCACAATTTTATTTTTGTCACTTAGACCCTTTGGGAATACCACTCTTCAATTCTGTAGAGCATGTCCAATAATCCCCAATAAAGTATTTAAGGACGGCCAGAGGATGTCTTACTTAGGACGTTCTGGGGACCGACGATTTGGTAACATCGGATGTACCTGGTACGTCCTGGGGAAGGTTCAGGACCTGATTCGGACGTACTCGGGAATTACTAATGTCTGATACAAGATATACTCAGGACGTTTCCAGTACTTCTTTGTGCTAACTGGGAGGCTATATGTGATTTAAATCAACAATTGTTGATAAGTAGCATCCACTAATAAAAAATATCAGTAAAATACTTAATTCCAAATTATAATCTCAAATTTGTATCCCATTCATCAGTACCGTGTCGTCAGTTCCATTTTCGATGTTTCGGTTATCTTTTTTTCGCAAACTTCAATTTAAATTCTGCTTGCGCAGAACTTGTTTATTTAATGTAATTATAAACTCATGCAAATTTGGTGTGGGTCCCATATCTAATAATTGAGGTATACCTCAATTATTAGATATATCGATATACCTCAATTATTAGATATATCGGTATACCCAAACGCTGTGGCTCCCGTCCCGAGGCGGGACTTAAGTTCAGTCCCGATTGACGTCATAATTTTAAGATTTGTTATGTTACAATAAAACTAAAACAAACCAACCCAACCCAACCTAAACTCAACAACACAACCCAACCGACCCCGCCCCATTGCCCCCCCCCGCCCCATTGAGCAAAAAACCCAACTAAAATGGTCAAATTTATGTTACGATAAAAATAAAACACGTTAACAAAGGAACAACAAATTTATGAAATAAAAAAAGTTAGAGAACTTCTGGTAGATTTTATGTTACGATAAAACTAAAACAAATTAACCAACCCAACCCAACCCAACCGAACACTGTTTAACAAAGAAACAACAAATTTATGAAATAAAAAAATAAAAAAAGTTCTTAGAATCGAACCCGGGACCTCTCGCATGCCAAGCGACCGCCCTACCATCTAAGCCATCCAGCTTGACACCAATTATAAAAGCTCGGGGAATAAAAACGTATTTACAGTGTGTGACGTCTGTCGGGATCGAAGTTAAGTCCCGCCTCGGGACGGGAGCCACCTCGATACCCAAAATCCACCAGCCCCACTGATATGTGGTATTATTTGATTTTGGGATATTTAATGTATAATATGCTTAAAGTTGCAATAAATCTTATATTTTCCAATAAATTATGTATTTAATTAGTACCCTGGTATACTCGTCACTTCCCTTGCATTTAAATTTAGAAAACACAGATATTTCAGAAACTGTTTGAAAAAGTGACTGGCCCGGTCTGAAACAGTATAATTATTATATTATCTATGTTCTCATAACAAAATACTGTTTAATTTTCTCCGAAAACTATATAAACAAAATGAGGTCAAAAGTTGCTCCACTTTTGTAAAATCACCCATATGTAAGTATTCAATATTAAATTAAAAAAACTTACAAATATACACAAATAACTTTCTAGATGTTGTTGTTGATACAATTTTAGACATTCTAACGTGGTCCACTACTATCCCAAAGGTTATGGCTGCAAAAAAGTGGCCTATATGAGGTAAAGATTGTAAAATATCCTCCTAAAATGAAAATACAAATGTTTTTAATAATATTAATAATAATAATGATTAGAGTGGTTCCATCTATTACATTTAACTCGAAATAAGTGTAGGTAACTGTACGATTTATGCTTATAACCTATATATTATATTATCAAACGTCAACATTATCTACCTACTTCATAGGCATCTGTGGTCATGACAAAATTTCGTAAACTCGAGAAAAAAAGATAAAGCATGTTCTACAAAATATGTTTTCGGCCTCATAATTGCTCACATCAGGGTTTCGAGAAATTTTAACCCAAAAGTGTAAAAACGCAGTTTTGTGGAGAAATATTACCTATTTCATAAAAAATATTTTCATTCATCAAAAGGTAAGTATGGTTTCAACAATAGGAACTTGGTAAAATTTTGTAGACTTTATAAACTAAAATACCTACATATTCAATTGAAAATCCATAAACCAATTTCAAATACTTTGTCACGCCCAGCATAAGAGTGGCATCAGCCCATTGACTACCAACAACGGCTATACCACAAGCCCATGCTGGTTTGGACATCAATAGTCTCCTCCATGGTAAATTTCTGTGTTCCTGAAGAAAAATAAAAATAAAAGTGTTTTTGCATTTTTTGTATATTTGTTTTACATCTCTTTTTGGCCTGTTTGGGTGTAAGGATTCCTCCACAAATCTCCACCATAAGAAGTACCATACACAAGTTGACATGGCTATGGTATAGCTTAACCAGTCTCTTCCTAGTTTCCTCACCAACATTGTTCCCAGTATACCGACAATTGCATAACCCAAATTTACAGCTATATAATACGAAAATCTGTAGGTATTAATAATTCTCCCATAATTTTAACTTGAATGTCCCGAGCCTTTCAAATATTTATTTTTAATCCAATGCTGTTAATTTTTTTTTAATTAGGAGACCAGACGAGCTACATTTCTAGACCGGATTTAAAACAAAAATCTTTTATAATTTCAACACGGAAAACTGACAAAATTTATATTTAAAATTTTTTGGATCCTAGTATTAAAATTACGAGAGAACTAATTAGTAGCTACTACCACTACAAAAACTTTAAAGAGGATGTGATTATTTCTCCATAATTTGATGATGGATACAAAATTAAATATATCAAGGTTTTTTGTCGAATTGTGATATTTGTTTTTTGTACTGTACCTGTATACAACGAAATAAACCCCGTTATGTGTTTTCGTTTTATCCAGGTTACAGCCAGCATATGAGCAGCCGGCCATGTGGCACCCTAAAAAATAATAAATGTCTTGATCTAAAGGTGTTTAAAGGATGTTAGAACATTTACCATGAATATTCCTTGGACGAATCTTATACCAACATGGCAAGCCGATAACCAGGAAGCAGGCACCATGACGGCTACCACACCTGTACCAAGAACACCAGCCCCAAAAAGTCTTTCCGCTCCAACTCTTGCGGCAATTCTACTGGCGGCCAAAGGAGACACCAAGGTGCCCCACATGAAAGCTTGTCGTAAGACTGCCTCTGTTTCGTCAGTACGCGTCATAGGTATCTGTGGGAGAATTTATAGATTCTAATAATGTTTTCATGTTTTATAGTTTTTATTGTAGTTTCCTGGCGAAAATTAAATGTGCAAAAAGTGTGCAAAATTATTTGAGAACAATGTGCCAACAATGTGCAATCTTTTAAAAAAATCATGTGCGGAGGGTGGGAAATGGAACATGAAACAATGTGCAAAACCAAAAATTTCAAAGTGTGAATAATCACTGGACAATGTTCTAAAGGAAACTCCTTTTTAGTACAGTCATCTTAGTCAAAAAAAGGGATCAACCTCGGAATCCAACGGAATAAGCTGAATTTTTGTGAAAACCTTTATTTAAGCATTACAAATGTTGTCTCAAAAGTCACATATGCCAACGTGTGAGCGGCCTTAGATATTCAAGGTCAAAGATCGCAAAAATCAGTTTTTTGAGAATATCTCATTTTCTCTGCCTCCTATCGTATTTGCATTTATTATAAAAGTTGTAGAGAATAAAATTCTCTACAAATTTTGTTTACAAAATTTTTTTATACGTCGAACCGTTTTTGAGATAGAGGGCGCAGAGTGTGGAGCGCTCAGCCATATATGGCTATACGTACTTAGCGCAAGGTAAATCGTTAATCCCAATCTATTATGCCGTTTTTTTAATAAATTATATAATAAATATTTCTAAAATAAAAATTTAATACCTTATACTTATATTTATATTTCTTTTAAATCAAATATATTTTATCTTCACCCATAATATAACAAGCTGCAGATTTCACGAGTCCGCAGGACGAGTGAAATGTGCTGCTTCGGTTTCAATGAGTAAATATCTTCGATTATTAATCATACCACGAGTTATATTTAGTGAGAAAATATAATGAATTTTAGGATTTAAAAAAATTGTCAGATTGACATTTAAAATTAAAATGTGCTTTAAAATATAAAAAGACTTGAATAAACCCTATTTATTCAAACTTACCTTAATTTCATTATCGTTTACACCAACCCATCGATCTTTTAGAGTTTATAATTAATTATTTTATTGATATAATATATAATATATATATATATATATTATTATATATATATAATATATATATTATATCAAACACAGAATTTAAATGACAACAAATGTCAAATCAAAAAAACGTCAAAATTCATAGTAACGTGTAAACAAGATGATAAAAAATATTGCCGCTGTGATAAAATGCGTCACTATGGAATACTGGCATTTCATTGGTTCTAATATGAATGAATTATATTGTCATATATATATTATATTTTAATTTAATTTTAATGAAGGATAATTGGATCGGAGTAGGAAAAAATGTTTTTATTTATATCAATATTATTATTATTATTAATCTTTATCTTCTTCATCCTCGTCTTCTTCAGGTTGGCCAGCAATTTCAGACTCATTCTCATCATCACTCTCCTCGTTATCATTGCCATTAATTGTCATATCTTCAAAAACTTACTTATAACGCGTTTGTACTTTGCAGATTTTTTTGCCTTTGTTGCCTCATTGGCGACTTCACCATAAAATAAGCACAATATTTTAAAATTAAACACATCATTCCCTTTTTTACGAGGTACAGTTGATGACGTTGAAGGTCCAGTCTCTTCAAGGCGACGTTTTGCTGCTGCAATCTTACTATAGTACGCTATAGCGTACAATTTTAGACACTCAATATGAACGTTTACAGAAGTCAAAGTATTTAGGTAGTTTATGTTTATTTCTCTCAATAATTGCTTCTTCCAAATTTAGACTTAAGTCTTTATACCGCGCACAAAAGTCACAGAATCACCTTCAGAAAGTAACTTATTACAAATAAAACACAAATCAGCCATGTTAACCTTTAAAATATTACGAATATTACCTGTCACAACCCTAGACCTATACCTATAGGGTCACAACTTGCTATAAATGTAGGTATACCTAACCTTTTTATTTATAGCAAGCCCACTATAGTATTTCCAGGTCTGTTATTTTAAAAGCAATATCTGGATCCAAGATATGACCAGAGACATATTCAAGGCAAATTCATTTAATGTCTTTTCTTCTTAAAATGCATTTATCATTAATTAGAATAACATTAGAATATATTTTTAATGATTCACTTCATTATTTAATTATTTGTATGTCAAAAGCAGTAGCGTGCAAAGGTGATCGGGGGCCCCCCCGCAAATTTTGAGCTGGGGCCCCTTTGTCACTTATACCACCCAATGTGGTTCTCTACGGGGCCCCCCTAAGGTCGGCCCCCCCCCCCCGCACCGCGGGCCCTGCGGGGCCCGTCCTGCACGCCACTGGTCAAAAGTAAGTAATATTTAATGACTATTTGTTTTAAAAAAAATATAAAAATAAATATAAGGTATTAAATTGTTATTTCAGTAATATATAACAAATAATTAATTAAAAAAACGGTATAGATTGGGATTCATGATTTACCTTGCGCTAAAGGTAAGTATGGCTGAGCGCTCCACACTCTGCGCCCTCTATCTCAAAAACGATTAGACGTATAAAAAAATGTTTTAAACTAAATTTGTAGAGAATTTTATTCTCTACAACTTGTATAATAAATGCAAATACGATAGGAGGCAGATAAAAGGAGATATTCTCAAAAAATTGATTTTTGCGACCTTTGACCTTGAATATCTAAGGCCGCTCACACGTTGGCATATGTGACTTTTAAGACAACATTTGCAATGCTAAAATAAAGGTTTGTACAAAAATTCAGCTTATTCCGTTAGATTCCGAGGTGAAATGCCTAGATGACTGGACTATTGGATTTTTCACATTGTTTGCACACTGTTTCTTGCCACCTGTGTGCCTATTACAAAAACAGATTCTTTTTGGTGACCTATAAAGTCTTTTAAATTTACACATTACCTCAATGTGTGGGATGGACCTGACCACATGTACTGTAGAAGTGCTAAGATTTTGGTCATCCGATGGAGGTTGACAGTATCTTGTGATGTAACTGGTGTTTTCGACATATTCGGCAAACTCGGCAGCCGAATAACTTGACGTGCTGTTTGCTCTTAATGCCACGGAAGCACTTTGTTCGACAACCCCGCAAAGAACAAATCCAGTTATCACAAAAACTGCCAGTACTTGCCGCGATCCGATTTGATCTATTAAAGAATTATAGCTATAATTGCTGGGCGATTTAAAATGAAAACAACGTTTTTAACATACCGTTTACTACTTTCGCAGCTTTTTGCACTTGGATGCTACCCCGTTTAAAAGTTGATAGGGTAGGGACCATGATAAAAAAATGTTATATCTACACTTAACACATTTTAACGACACAATTCTTATTGTAGGTTTGACCGCAATTTAAAATCTTGATAATATAATGACCATCATTATTTTGACTTCCTTTATCTCCCACCCGGCTTTTTATATATATAAGTAAGCGTGTTTGTAAAAATAAAACACAACATTTATTAATTGAATTACAAATTTTTTTAATTGGTATGAAATCATGATTAATGTAATAAGAAATATAATTATTGAGTAGGTACCAAAATGTATATATGGGTGATTCTAGAAAAGTTGGACAACTTGTAAATATTTCAGTATACCACAAAAAATCCAGGTTTTTTTAACTTGTCCACCCAATTTTAATGTATTTTTTCAAAAGCACGTTTGTAGAAAAACATATATGTTATAATAAATATTCAAAACATCAGTACCTTGGCGTGTCACAAGTTGTGACTCACAACTCCTGAATCAAATATTTCAGTGGTTTTATTTTAAAATATATTCAATTTATCTTAAATTTTTCAATTTTACTACAAACTATAAAACATTAAATAATGTATTTTTCATATTTTATCATAGATTCAACTAATAGCATTTTTAAAAAAATTGATAATCTTTGTACTCACTTTTACCCGTCAGTTCTACGTCCCATGTTAAAACTCAAAATTCCTGCGAAATATTATTAAGTTTGTAAGGGTCCTGTAGTATATAAACTTTTAAATTCGAATTTGGCGCTATTTTAACCAAAAAAAATTTAAATAATCCACTAAAAATAATATTATAGTTTTAAGATATTTTATGTTTTAAAACCCTATTGAGTTTTAAAGTTTCACTTCTTTGTATCTCAACGTAGAAATATTATGAAGACTGTTTATGTTGGACATTCTTGCTTAAGTGGCTGAGATGTTTAAAAGCGAGATTAGGAAATATCATACACAGAGGGTTTTTGCTCGCCCTTCGAGATACTCCTGTTAAACCGTTTGTGAAATATATTAAGTATAATATAGTTATAGTTTTTGTGATTGTTACCGATTTTCTGCTATAACTACTTAGGTATGTACACTTTGAAAAATTGTAAATTTGCTAGTAATGATAAACAACTCCTCGTTTTTTGCTTATAATTTGCTTATAATTTTGAACAATATTATTTAATTCGCATTTTTGTCTATGACGTTTATCATTGCTAGTTTATTGGGTCCTAATCATTTTAATATGTGTAAATAGCGAGTGATTTTTGGTAATAATTTTTATTGTATCACTATTTCATTATTTTGGTTTAATATCTTGGGATCGCGCATACACTGAGTTTAAATCTTTATGTTGTCGCGTTTATCAAGTGCACTGAAGTAAATTTACCTTAAATATTACTATTTTGTATTGTCTTTATTTTGAGTTATACTGGCCTTGATTTTGTTGTTTCCTTTTTTTTAACTTTGTATAACTTTTTATTTAACTGAAATGTATTTTATTGTTTATGAAACTCAGTGTATCATCTCGGTATTAAGGTATTTATTTATTTTAACTCTTTGCATTTGTACTCAGGCTAAATCTTTTAACAATAATATTATTATTATAATATTGGTATTATTTGGGTAAGGTTTATAAAATGTTATTATTATTATTATTATTGCTCTTATTATTATTATTAAATTTGATATTACCATTAGGTCATATCATGGTAAGGTAATAGTATCGTTTAACCTTTTGATAGATTCTGGATAGAGACTTTGATTTAAACTGCTTATCTTAGCGCTTTATTTGGAATATTTGATAATGGCTTTAACGTTACTATATATGATAAAAATCTCTTTATGTTATTATTCAGCGCGATACTTTCTGGTGGTTAGAGTTTTGGCCATGTTCAGGTGTTTCTTGTTATGACTCTCTCCTATTTATTATTTTATTGTATTTTATTTATATTTTATACCATTTTATTTTATTGCATATTGTTTATTTTATTTGTGTCTGTATTTGTACTTGTATTTTCGTTTGGAGAGTGCTCATACATGAATATTTGAACATGGGTAATATATTAGCATTATTTCAAAAGGATTTATCCTTAGAAGAAAAATAGTGTTTTTATGTTATTACCTATATAAACTCTGTGTGCAGAATTGTTTGTATATTTTTGCAATACTTTTGTCTTGTTCTGGACATTGATTTTGTAAGAATATTTGAACATATTGTGATATAGCGACACTTTAGTGAGATAGGACCACCATAGCTGTCGTTATATCACTTCGCAGAGTATGCAATTGTTCCATAGTGTGGTTATTGGCTACGGTTAAATATCTGCATTTGGTTAAAGCATATGAATTCTTTCTATCAGAAATATGTCGTTGCTGTAGTTTATTTATATAAAATCGTGTCTTCGTTCAATAGTTCGAAGATGCGTGGTAAGGTAATCAAATAAACAAACACTTCGTCATAAAATGACGATCTCTATTATAACTATTTTACCTGAGTACAAAATGTTTTGAATATTGATAAAAACACCCAAATTATATGAAATATGTTTATCTGCTTTTCATGTTATTTTATTCACTCATTATTTATACTGTATTCTTGTGATTGTGACCCATATGACTATGTTTTGTTTTGTATTTTATTTTTATTTGAACTGTGTAAGTCGCCAGGGTTTTTATGGTCCCTTTTCCCTGTGCTTTGACTCAACGGGCCACCCCTTTATCTTTGCTTAAATTAAATCAGGGGTTTCAAATTAAATACTTGTGTTTCATTAAACCTGACCAATTTCAAAATAACGTAATTATCAATGTAAGTAAATACACAACGTAGAGTCCTAATTTTTATAAAGTAAGTAAATTAACTAGACGATCACGAATATGCCAAAACAAGTATTTCAGTATACTTAAAGAATCGGGTTACGAGAAAATATATAGTGGACATTACAAGTTTAAACGTTAAGTCCTCGTTTTAACTCAGGTGTTGGTAAAAAATTATCTACAGAGCCCGCCCTTTGCACGACAGTTCCAGTCAAAATTTCAGTCCTGTGGTGAGTAGACTATAACTAACTATAGTTATTTTCTTACGTATATATATTTCATTGTAATTTATATAAGCTTAGGTTATAATGTGATTTGTTGATAAGTACACAGAAAAAACGCTAGCATAGCATGAATGGGTGAGCCATTAAACCAATGGGATCTTGTAATCCGTATTCCTGAATAACAGTTCCTATAATACCAATAGGTAGTTAGCACTTGGTTTATAATCGTTTAATGTTTTTAAATTAACAACAAAAGTTATCGCTACTAAATCTATTGATATTCATATTGATATTTATTTGTTAGAATGGTAGAATCATAGAATGTTATTGCATTAAATACTAATTTGATGACTATTGTATGTATACTATGTATACATTTAACGCAATAAATTCTTTGATATTTGGGCAAAATATTTCCCTTTTTTGGTTTAATAGTAATTAATTGAGCAAATAACAACTTAGATTGCTTCAATTTTAATGCATTCAATGACAGCGCTGTTCTTGGTACTATGTTAGATTTTTTTTTGTGTAGTATTCACTAATAAAAAATATCAGTAAAATACTTAATTCCGAATTATAATCTCAATCTGTATCACATTCATCAGTACCGTGTCGTCAGTTCCATGTTCGATTTTTGGTTATCTTTTTTTTCGCAAACTTCAATTTAATTTCTGCTTGCGCAGAACTTGTTAATTTAAATCCACCAGCCGCCACTGATTTGATTTTAAATTGCAATAAATCTTATATTTTCCAATAAATTATGTACCTATTTAATTAGTACCCTGGTATACTCGTCACTTTCCTTGCATTCAAATTTAGAAAACACAGATATTTCAGAAACTGTTTGAAAAAGTGACTGGCCCGGTCTGGAACAGTATATTTATTATACCTATTATTTATGTTCTCATAACAAAATACTGTTTAATTTTCTCCGAAAACTATATAAACAAAATGAGGTCAAAAGTTGCCCAACTTTTGTAGAATCACCCATATGTAGTTTTTTTTTTACATTATAATAATAAATTACCTACTGAAAATAAGAGTATATAATAGAGTGGGTCGAAAAAAATAAATATTTATTTTTTGGAACGCTTTAGTAAGGAAAAGTTGCCTATTGTACTAAGAAAAAAAACGACATAAAAAAAATTTAAATCGGTTAACACCTTCCGTTCGCGCATCGTACTTAAAGTTTATGAAATATTGCAAAAATCGCTCCTTTTTTGTAAATGTTTTAAGTCAGTTAAAACTTTTAAAATAAACACGCTATATTTTTTATGGTTGTTTTATGGTTTAAATAAACTAATTAAATTAAATTCTGATCAATAATCTATGCTTTTCCGTTTGCGCAATGTCTTGGAATAAAACAGAATTTTACCAATTTTTCGCAATTTTCACTGTGCAACTCTTCGCTCGTTTTGTTAGAACAAAACGACCCAGAACTCACCACGTGGAGGTGGTTGCACGTCGAGTTCCACCCACACCCTACCCAACCAACCACTCAATTGTTGGTAGGATTCCTTGTCTGACTGTGTTTTTTACTTACTCATATCTTCTACACATTTAAAGTCTGATTTTTTAGAGAAATGAGGCATAACCGATCTAGACTTTAGTGTTGCTCGGATATAGCCATCTCTAGCCTCATGTCCACATACTTTATTCGAGGCCTGTGTCACAAGTTTAAAGCACCTCTCCACAGCCTGGGTGTGACAGGGAAACTTTTGTATTTCTCTGATGGGCGTACTTTTAGAATTGATTAGTGATTTAATATCATCCTTAGGTCCCGCAGCAATGGGGGAGGATAAATTACACAAGAATTCCAATTAATAATTTCAATGTAATCGGAAGCTTGAAAGTTTATTTTCGGTAGCACGAAATTTCTAACAGTCTTCTTCTTTGTGACGGTTTGCCTTGCTTTTAAGATCCTTCTGTAACCTAGCTTCCGAATATGTTCTCTTTTATCGAGCATTGCTATCAGAACATTCTCTGGGTGCGCAAAGAATGCATTTCGTTGTATTACTGGATCGACAACTTGAAGTAATTCGTCGGAAAAATACCGTGATGTTTGAATAGCTTGAAAGACATGTTTTGGTCCGTCAGTAAAATATTTGTT